CATTCCTGAGTTGCGGAATGAACACGTGTCTGTTCCTGGCTTAGATTTCAGGTCATGTGTAATTACTAGGGGGTTGTTACTCTGTGGTTCCTCGTTAACTGTCAGGTAGGTGGCACAGTTCCAATGTAATACATGGAAGTGTTGCGTAGGCCCCTGGAGGAAAGGGATGGTGGCTGGAGTATTTGCATGAGCAGAAGACATGGCCTTAAAGTGGGACATGTTGGGATACTGCTCTGAACCAGAATGGTTTGGAAATTATCCCATTTTAGGAAACTGAAAGAAGAGACAACCCAGAGGGGAGGGAAATGAGGGAGAGGAGAACCAGAGACTACAGGCTGAAATTTTATGTTTTAAACCATGTATTATATTTAATTATCTCTCTTCCTGTTGACAACGGACCTGGAGGTGCTTTGGAAGCAAAGGGAAACCAATGGCAACCCCTCTGCAGGGCTGCCGTGGTGTGAAGCCATTCTCACGGCCAGCAGTGCTGTTGTGGAGGCACTGCAGCCACCAGGTCAGTGGGACAGGGTGGATATGCAAGACACGGTGGTCCTTGCGTTGCTGTGAGTTAAGTGCTGAGCTCCATCCTTTGGAAGCCCTGTTGGCCAGAGTGGCACTTTCCTTACAGTTTGCATTGTGCCTGAACACTTTTGCACACACTATGCGCTGTGAAAACCTTCCCTTTCTTCTTCTGCCCCGCCAAGAATCCCACACCCGTGTTCTCGGGGCATCCTTTGGTTTCGTTGGGACCCCTCAAGCTGAGTTAAGAGGTGCCTCTTGGTTTTTTCATGGTCTTTCTGAAGCCTCTTACCTGTGCTTGCCCACAAGTTGTGCCAATCCAAGGCTGCTCCGTTTCGTTGGGGTTAAAGTAGTTTCTCTTGGAAAGGTCGTTGCATCATTACCAGGAACCTCAGCAGTGCATTCAGCTGGGGGAAGGTGAGGGGAAAAGTGATGCTCAGAGTTTCTTTTGGGACCAAAACAAAGTCACTTTACATGGATAGGTTGGTAGGGAGTTTTTTGCAAGTGGGTGGCTCAGGAACAGTTGGGTTTGGGCTCCATCTCCAGGGCTGGGACACCATGGCTGGCATTGTGCCTCTAACCCTCCCGTGCATCTCCAGCCCAAACCCTGTGTGGGTTTTCTGCTGGTGCCGTGTCTATGGTTTGAAACCCCCATTTTCCCTGTGTTATATCAAGAGCCTGTTAAGGATATTTACATGGCAACTTCATTTCTATGTGGCCTTTGAGAGGTTGAACACTGGCTTGCTTGGGGTGAAGGGAGAATCACAGCCTTTTTGTCTCCTCTTTGCTTGTCTAGAGGCAGCACCCAGGGGAGACCCAGGACTGTTGGGGCCTTAGGGAAGATGTGGATGCAGACAGGAACTAAACCCATCCTTTTGCTAGTGCTCAGGACCAACACATAGGTCTTCGTATGGGATTGAGGTGTGGAGAAAGGCTCTGCACAATTTTTCCTGCCATTTTTCACCTTTCAGAAGGGGAGAACATTTTCCTTGGAGGGAACCGAGGCTTCCAGCCACGCTACATCCTTTCTTTCCCATTTGATCCATTTGTTACCTCCTGCACTTTTTCCCTCTCTGCTTGTGCTCCCAAACTCCTTTTGGCTCTGGATTTCTTTGTGCAAAGTGAACCCAGTGATGCCCTTGACTTCCATACAGAGAAATCTTTGAGTGCAAAAAGGCTGCAAACTGTGCAGGTTTGCCCCTGGCATGTTGCTAAATGAGATGTCTTTTGTCAGAGCAAGAAGTGTCGGCAGGTCCCCGGTCAGACTTGGTGGCATGGTTTTTGTAGTGACCATGGAATGGAAATGATGTTGCATGAGGTAAAAGTCAACATTGCTCCAACCAGCTGCTCCCTGCAAATCTTATCCAAGTCAGAGATAACACAGATTTATTACCTTATTTGTTTGCAGTTGCTCTTGGAGGCCTGCTGGAAATCTGGCTCAGGGTGTGATATAAAGGCAGAACGTCAGGTGAGGATGAGGTCACGCAGTATTAAAGATGAGATCTTTACTATAGGAGACAAAGTCAACAGGACTTCGAGGCACAATTGCTGCGGGATATAATTTTCCTCTTGTCCTGATTTTGAAGCCCCATTGGCTCTATTTTGAATATCCATTTCCTAGTTCTTCCTGCAAGATCCTTTTTTCCTTCCAGATGATGTTAGACCCTTGAGAGCAGCTACTGACAGTGTGTCCTCTGAGTTTTCCACAGGCTGAAATCCCAGCAGTCTTACCTCCTTTAGGGACTGCATGGGAAGAATTGTGTTTTCCCTCTTCGAATTAATACACCAGAGTTTATAAAGATCCTTTGACTTGTAGCTCTAAAAGGATTTCTCCCACAATCACTGATCACAGAAAACCAGTTTTATATAAAGGCAGCACAGATTGTCTCTTGCTGCTACAAATTCCACATAGAATTTTTTTTGCAAGGTGTAAGAAAGAACCCACCTTTTCTGTGTCATCATTTCAAAGAACTTCTGACACACGCCTCCATCCACAGCCATGCCATAAATCATCACTTCTCATTCACCCAGGCAAAAAGACCTGAATTCTTGGTTTAACCTACACCAGAATTAACTCTAAATCATGCTCCCTATTTCTATGAAATGATTTGTGCCTGCATAAACTTTAATAGAGCCTTCTCATTGCTTATTGACATAAATAATTCCATTCCTGCCGTAAATCGTAGCCAAATACTCCCTGCAAAGTCTTCACTCTCAGTCACTTAGTTCCCCCGTGCCTCTATCACACACTCCTCATGGTGATTTCCCACAAGAAGTCTTAACCAGTAGATTAAAGGAAAATAAACCAGTTCTGTTTTGCTAATAAGGCAGTCCCAATGATAAAGACCTTCTAAAGGATGAACAGGCAAACTTTGTCCCTCTGTGGAGCCTCTCTCAGCCTGGTCTTTGCTCCTCTGTTCCTCCCAAGTTTGTTCCTGTAGTTTTTGGAGGACAGAAACAAGTTTTAGTCAATGGCGAGTGTAGAAAGGAGAGACCAAAGGGAACTGAAGAAAGAAGTTAAAGCCAAATTTCCAGCAGGCCAACTTGAACTGCCCTGGGGATGCGTGTGCCCGTGCATGGTTGTGTGCACAGACCCTGGTTTGAGGTCCGTCTGTGCTGGATGTGAAGCCATGGCCTGGGAGCAGCACCTGGGATCTGGCCTCCAGGAAACTTTTGGGCTTATGTTTCTCAGAATCTGGGTCTAGGCGTGGAGAGAAACACTGCAAATGGCCCCACCTGCGGGATGGAGCATCCCTGAGGCTGGGACCTGGCTTTGGATGCTTCAGGTACAAGTTGTGGGTTCAGGTTGTCTGAGGAGTTCATGTCTCCAAACAGGAGATGCTGCAGTCTGTGTGCAGGTGGCCTTTCATATGTGACCCCAAGACACAGGAGCAGAGCACTAGCCATAAGTCAATTTCCCAATATTTGGGAAGGGACTTTAATGTTACTCAAGTGCAGATTTTGTATGTGCATTTCCTTGTTGACTCATTTTCTTATTAATAAATTTTAAAACACGAATGCCAAGGAACTCACTGGAAACAACCCTCTTGTCCAGCTCTGAAAGCCATTCTGTTTCTTTAGACAGACTATGGGATACATCAGATAGATCAAATGCTGCTTACTAGATTCAAACAAATTCTGCAGGGTCATTGCTATTTACAGGTCAATGGGTATATTTTTACTTTTTTAATTGGTTTTTAAGATTTTAAATTATGTGAGTTTTTAGAACAAGTTTGTATGATGTACCTGAGAAGCCAGAGCATCACCTCAGATGCAAACACTCCCCTTCCTAACCCAAGAGAAAAGAAAAACACATTCACTCATTTTCTCTCAAGAGGGAGCTGCTGCAAAGCTCATTTCCCTCAAAACACTATGGTCACAGCAGCATTAGTGCTGAAACCAAAATGTATTAGAAAAGAAACTGAAATTCCTAAGGAATTTGCCAAAGAGTTGTCCCATATAATGACCCTTAACAGTGAGCATGCTATTGAGAATGTTAAAATGCCCAGGAGCAGGATAGGGATTTCTGTTTCTCCATCCATGCTTGTGTGAACCCTCATGTTGAGCCTTCATCTCTTTCTTCCCAGCACGCCTGTGGTCCTCCAACCCATGCCTGCATGCCCATGGTCCTCCGACTCATGCCCGCACACCTGCATCCTCTCATCCACTCTCCATCATGGATGAGCATCTTCTGTTTCCATCAGCTTCCTTCTCATGAACCAGAAACAAGGAAATCAGATACAAAAGCTCCTTCACCTGCAGGTAACATTGAGGCTGGGGTGAGGAGGGCTGTGGCATGGGGGTGAGGGCAGCATCCCCTTCTCAGCCCTATGTGGGTCACTGCTGCTCAGCAGTGGAAAAGCTTTTAGCACACAAACACCCCAACTTCTCTGCATCACAGAGCAAAAAGCTTAGAGCACGGGTGTGGGATTGTTGGGTTTTTAACAATAACAATAGGGTTTTTTTTAAATAATAAGGATAATAATAATGCATAGGAATCTTCTTTAGTATATCTTAGTGTTTGATGCCCCAGTGACACAATACTGCTTGCCTT